ATCTGCTCTGAGTAAGAGAATGCCTGTGGTGTGACTCAGTGTCTGTGGTTCCCGAGGGTCCCCTGCTGTCCCTTGAGGCTGGATGGCAGACAGGACGTTCTTTCCCCTCCTCCCTCATACCCCCCTTACATCCAGTCGGCAGAACCAGCCAGCATGGATCACACAGGATTCTTTTTCTTTAGAAAGCAGGATTTATTGAGAGGACAGGAAAGCTTCCACAGTGGGAGGGGACCTGAGGGGCTTTACCCCACACAGGATTCTCTACTGCAGCAATTTTCACACTTGCCTGACTTTTAGGAATCACTGGAAAGTACTTGTTAGAAGCATAGATTTCTGGGTCTTACTCCAGACTTAGTGCATCAGAATCAACATGGAAAGGGCCTGGGAATTTGTATTTTTACAAGTTCTTCGGGTGACTTAAAAATCGGGCACATTTGGAAAACTTGCTTGGGTGCAGCAGAGTCTGCTTATTTACAGGCGATGAGAATGATTAAGAGCACAGGCTTGGCTCGGTGCAGTGCGGTGGCTCATACCTGTAATTCCAGCATTTTAGGAGGCCCAAGCCTAGAGGATTGCCTGAGTCCAGGGGTTTGAGACCAGCTTGGGCATCTTGGTGAAACCTTGTCTCTACAATATATCAAAAAATTAGCCAGGTGTGGTAGCACACACCTGTAGTTCCAGCTACTGGAAGGCTGAGGTGGAAGGATCATCTGAGCCCAGCAGGTTGACACTGGGGTGTCTGTGAGCATGCCACTGCACTCCAGCCTGGGCAATGGAGTGAGACTCTGACTCAAGAAAAAAAAGAATACAGGCTCTAGGTGGCATAGCAGATTCTCACTGACGTCCTCCCGTCTGATCTTGCCCTGTAGCTAAGACCTCTGCCTATGTCTGGCTTGGAGTTCCTCTGGCTTTTAGTGCCTTGTGATTTATATACTGTTCCTCTCTTTAGGCAAGCTAAGTGTTGCTTTTCTGGTCACCTTTAAGGTCTAGCTGTCAAGTTTCAGTAACCCTCTAGTTCACTAAATTCCTTTTCCTGGGTCTTTCAGCTCTTGCTAAAGTAAAGACCTCTTTTTCTCTCGTTTCCAGTTTTCCACCCAAGCACACATGTCTCTTTGATTTATTGTTCTCTCACTGCCTCCATTTTATTAATTCATTCAGTCACTCATCCAACAAGCCTCTATTGTGCCAGGCTGTGGGCGGGCTACAGAAATGAACGAGACACAATCCCTGCCCTCAAGTGCACAGTCTAGTAGGGAGACAGAGGGTGTAAACACATAATTAAAATACCAGTGATGTGCTAAGTGCTATCACAAACATGTGCGCAGAGTTACAGGAGCCCTGGGAGGAAGTGATCGAAGGAATGCCCCACAGAGGAGGTGACTTCTGAGCAGGGTCTCCTAGTCAGAGAGGAGGGAGGGCATTTTTAAGCCATTGTGTGGCCCAGTCATAATCTTCACAATCTCTTCACAGTTCAACTTCTTCCAAGTCTCCTTAATTTCCTTGCTCATTTGCAGATCTAATGGGGCTAATTGGCATGGCTGGACTAGACTCTCTTGATTGACCTCTTTCAAAACCTGAGCTAGTTAGTTGATTAACGTTCAGGATGCCAAACCTAACAGTTTGTCCCACGATCATTTACTGACAGTGAATGATTGGGATTCTAAGCGCTGAAGAAAGCTTTTTAAAGGCCTTTCACTTTGTCACTTTGCCAGATGTGTTCTGCCAGAAGTGGTCTTTGTGCCGGGGGTAGAGGGTAGAGTTGGGGAGCTTGTGAGTGGGGAGAAGAACAGGAGAATGCGCCATTATTTCCTTTACAATAAGAGACATGGTTTCCTGTTCCTAATGAAGGTTTCCTCGGTAGGCTTCTGTACCGCTGTTAGTTGTGTGTATTGTTTGAAATTACCTAATCTCTTGAGTTGACTAATTTGAAAAGGTTTGGTTTTTAAATTTATTTATTTTTAATACACTGAAGGTTTCTCTATTTCACTGGAGAAACAGAGATGAAGAACTATTGTGATTAAATTTGCATAGTGTAGTAAGCAGCATGTTGAAGTCTTAAAATACTTAGTGTTTCTTGAAATAATAGATACTCATTGAAGAAAAATTAGAAAATCTATTTTTTTTGAGATTATATAAATCAATCTTGTTTTTTGAAATCAAACTGTTAAATTATAAAGAACAAAGTCAAAATTCCCCATAATCCCATTACCCAAGGATAAGCAATTCAGTAGATAGCGTTTCGGACTATTTTCTGTATGCAAACCATATCCACCACTTTGTGTGTGTGTATGTGTGTGTGTGTTGGAGTCTCACTCTGTCACTCAGGCTGGAGTGCAATGGCATGCTCATAGCTACCCCAGCCTTGATCTACTAGGCTCAGGCGATTCTTCTGCCTCAGCCTTCTAAGTAGCTGAAACTACACTTTAAAAAAAAAAAAAACAGAATCAGTTCATGTTATGCCTACTGTTCTACAGCTTGCCTTTTACACATAATATAGACAACCTGAATAGCAACACATTTGGAATACCTGCATGTTATTATATGGATCAGGGTTTTTCAATCCTCAGCCTTTGTTGCTGGACTGTTGTGTGTATTGCAGGATATTAGCAGCAGTCCTAACTCTGTGCTCTAGACACCAGAAGCACTTCTTCCTCCAGTTGTGACAGAAGTGCTCCCCAGCATGGTGATATCTTCTCTGGGGCCAAATTGATCCTAGTTGAAAACCATTGGTTAGTTAGTCTATAATATAAGCAACTAGATTGCTTCCAGTATATATATTTTTTTGCTATGAAGAATGGGGTTCATAATATTCTTATATTGATTTTTTGTGTATCTGTGTGAATTTTATCATTAAATAAATTCTTAGAAGTATGGTTGCTGTATCAAATTTTTTTTTATTATAAAGACAGGGGGGTACAATTCAAGGTTAGGTATACAAATGTTAATTATGCATGTACCCTTGTTGATGAGGTATGCCCCTCCCTCCCCTAGCAGTTTCCCTTAACTGCCAATCCCACCCCCCTCCCCTGACAGTTTCCCATCACTGCCAAACGCTTTCTTATAGTATTATAATTGTCCAAGATCTGCTTATGAGTGAGAACATATGGTCCTCTGTTCTTTGCTGTATCAAATTTTTGATAGATACTTCCAAATTACTCTAAGAAGATTGTATCATTTTATTTTTCAAATATTCTGTATCCTGATGACTTCTGTATCCCAATGATTCCAAATAGATATCTCTTTCTTGAGTTCTAGATTCATAAAACCAGCCATGGCCTTGCTGTCCCTTCTTCAGTGCGCCCCACCAGCCTGTCCTAAGCTCAGCTCTCTTCTTTGCCCTCAGCAAGCATGCACGTTCAGCCAGAAGCCTCCTTCACTCGACATTCAGCCAGTTAGCAAAGCCTCTCCAGTCTTCCTCCTTAGTGTCTCTCCATTTATTCACTTCTTGCCCAGATCTCTATTAGCATCGAGGCAACAGCTAGCTTTTCTGGCTTTCCCAGTCTTGGTCCCTAATAACTCATTCCCCTCAGGAAGAGCGTACTTGCTGCAGTGTAGAACTGCGATGTTCTCCCTGCTTCAGTCCTCAGTGGGCCCCGCCCCTCCCCCATCCACTCCAGCACTGGAGGCGGAGGCAACTGCCCCTGGTGTTCATCGTCCTTGATCTCAAATTTCCGTGTCCTTCAATATACTCTCCTCTCATCAACCGACTATGTAATAAGTGAATGCTAAACATTTGAATGTTTAATGTACTTTTCTATACTACATTTTGACTTTTCCATTTTAGGTATTGGGCTCTACATAAGGCTTCATTTTAAATAAAGTTATCTTTGACCTAGTTATCTCTTTTGGAAAGCAATGCTCTATCATGTCACTTCACCATGTATCTTTTCTCTTATGTTTGACTCACTCATTCTCCCTTGCATGTCCATTTGTTCCTCTGCATTTCCTGTTACTCTCTACCCATTCATCTGTTCCCCCCACCTTCCTTTTTTCTTGAGTCGGGTCTCAATCAGTTGCCCAAGCTGGAGTGCAGTGGCATGATCGTGACTCACCACAGCTTCGATATTCTGGGCTCAAGTGATCCTCCTGTCACAGCCTCCCAAGTAGCTGGAATTACAGGTGTGTGCCACCATGTCTGGCAGTTTTTTGTGTTTTTGTGTTTTTTGTAGAGACAAGGTCTCACTATGTTGCCCAGGCTAGCCTTGAACTCCTGAATTCAAGCAATCCTTCCTCCTCAGCCTCCCAAAGTGCTGGAATTATAGGCGTGAGCCACCATGCCTGGCCTTGTTCCTCTTTGTTTAGTACCCAACACATTTCTTGCCACTTCAACCACATGTTTTCTCTTCTGTTTATCAGTTTATTCTCATTGCATTTGTTGTATATGTACTTTGTACTTTGTGCATACTTTTTAATATAACCTTGAGGAAAAGAGAGCCATGTGAATAAATAAGAAAAACCAATGAACTGAGGAGAGAGGGTGTGGGATATCCAGCCCCAGGTTCCAGCACAGGTGTTTAGGGTACAGGAAGGCTTTCTAATTGTTTCCATCCCAGCACTCAAACCTTGACTTCTCTTAATTCTGTGTGATTCTAATAGCAGTATAAGTGAGTACCTCACAAACCAGTTGGACTTATTTCATTAAACTGAAACTTCGAAGAGAAGATCATTGTCTGTCAGCCTGGTAGCATTCCATTTGGGTATATCTTAAAGACCAAGGAAGCTTGATGGACCTAGGGACTTGGGAATCTCTGTCATGGTATGTGACATATTGCTGTGCAAGATTGGTATAGGACAAATCCTATACTTTCCCACAAGAAGTCAGCTCCAAATCTCTGGGAAATCATACGTAGCAAAATCTTTGGCAGAGAACCATATGTTTCCCCCCAACTCTAGGTTTGCTATGTCTATGACATTCTGTAATTAATTTTATTTTTAAGGTGGACAACCACAGAGTAAGAATAATGCGTAACCTATTGGTGTCTCTTGCTGTTTCAGGGGACATCACACAGAAGGGGTATGAGAAGAAGAGGTCCAAACTCCTTTCTCCTTACAGCCCACAGACACAAGGTAGGCGATGAGCGGTGGTTTCAATGTGTCAGTATTTTTACACCAAAGAGATGCTGTCTTATGAGTCATCTATCTTTTGTTTGTTCCTGTTTTTCCCTCCCTTCCTCACTGGGGAAGATAAAAACCGGAAGGAAGAAAAGGAGGAAATGAATCTTAATTGAGCATCTGCTGTGTGCTAGGCACTTTAAAAATACCTAAGGTCATCAAATAATTCACGGAGAGCTTGGGTGGTAGCATGTCAAAGACTCTATGTATAACTAGATGATTCAGTAGCAGAAAATTTTAGGCCACAGAAAAACTGCATCTTACTTAAGCTGGTGCATGAACTGTGATGAAGAGGAGCAAAGAGAGCAAGAGAGAGGAAGGGCAGCTCCGGCAATGCAAGGCAACTCAAGGTTTAGCATATTTGAAGATTTGGGGGCAGAGCCTTGAATGAACTTGTCGATTAACTCAAAATCTGACTTACTGCTGCTGTAGAGACACTAGCATATTTTTTACAGATCAGAAAGTCCTGAGTCACTGATGCTGAATTTCAAAGGAGCTGCCAGATCTTTTGCCTCTAACGAAGGCTGTCTCTAAATCATCATATTTTAAAAATTACTCAGATTTCAGGATTTCCTTTGATGGCCTATTTCTCCTTTAGTCACTTTTAGTATAAGGAATCTTTTAGAAATTTCTTATTTCCCCTACAACCAAAGTAGGTTTCTGCAGGCCTGTTCTTTATGGAGCTAATTGCTTTTATTACTGGATTACTATTACCAAGGACTTTGTATCTTCCGTGTTTCTCACAGTAAGCTTTGTATAGGGGCTGTGGTCTATAAATATCTGAATGAATAATGGAGTGAGTAAATAAATAATGATGGTATACCAGTATATTTCATTGAGACCCTTGTTTTATTTCCTATATTGTTCTTGGAAATGCCTTCACACAGAAACTAGTAGGACAGTACAGTGACAGTTCATTTAAAATATCTTAATAAACAGGTTCATGTAGAAATGAATTGAGAGAGAAGAGGTGGAAATTGGGCCAGGAACAGCTAATGAAAAGCCAGCTTTTGCTGAGCAAAACGTGACCCAGGAGGAGGTGTGGGGGGTTATCCTGGTTTTCTGCTGACTTGTGGATCTAGCCCATGCCTCTGAAGACTCAGCAGTTTACTTTAGTCACTGTTCAAAAGCAATCAGATCTTGAGAGAATAACTCAGTAAGAAATATAACTATGGAAAGGATCATGAAGTGTCTGTTATCTGGAGTTGGGTTGCCCAGAAACTGAATCATGTTTAAAAACCAGTTTATAAATTTACTATGACAAATCCATATGATCAGCACATTTTTGCCCCATGGGTAAACCCACACAGGGAGCCACATGATAAGTAGAAGTTGCTTAGTGGATAGGGATTTGATGGATCAGATGTTTAATTGTAGTAGGCCAGAAGAATGTGACATAGCCATCTCCCAGTAGGGATGGCCTTGCAGGTGACCTCACCAGGGACATAGAAAGTATTTGTGACAAGCTCCTTCAACTTCCACCTACCAGACTTCAAACTTCCCACATCTGTGTCCCTTGTTTACCTCCTTCCTTCTGGTTAAAAAGGTGACATGTCCCTCCTACCCAAGAATAGTCCCTCCACCTGGGCCTTGGATCCCAAGCCCTTCTCCTTTTCCTCAAGCCTTGAGTTATCCAGTGGCACTAAGGACAGGGCAGTGGGAGTGCACCCCCACCCCAGGTGCAGGCAATAAGGCGAACAGTGTAGAGAATAAAAAAAGCAGTAATCAAACCAACAAAAAGTTGTGCCTTTTAGTATCACTCTGTGAGTAATTCTAAACAGTCTGTAATAAAAAGTCTCCTACTGAGGCAGACAGCTGCACTGCCCCCTTGGTATGCCATTGCTCTGCTCCTTCTCTCTCAGTTGCTCTCTCCCTCTCAGCCGGATTCTTCCCTCAGCAGTTCATCATGCTCATTACTGCCCTGTTTTTAAAAAATCCAGCTGGGCGCGGTGGCTCACACTTGTAGTCCCAGCACTTTGGGAGGCGGAGGCGAGAGGATTGCCCGAATCCAGGGTTCAAGACCAGCCTGGGCTACTCGGCGAGGTCTTGTCTCTACAATAAATAAAAATGTTAGCCAGTCATGGTGGCTCTCCCCTGTGGTCCCAGTTACTTGGAAGGCTGAGGCGGAAGGATCACCTGAGCCCAGGTCGAGGCTGAGGCGACCGTTAGTGTGCCACTGCACTTCAGCCTGGGCAACAGAGTGAGACTCTGACTCAAAAAAAAAAGAATCCTCCCTTTTCTTGTCAGCCACTTCCATCTCCACCCTCTCTGTCGCCCTTTTATAATCAGACTGTGCAGAACAGCCCATATGTACTATCTCTGATGTCTCATCTGCTCTTGTCTTAGCCCCTTCCAGTCCCTTCTGAAGCTGTTGCCGTCTAATGTCAGTAGTGTTCAGTGTTGTACCTCTCAACACTTCTTCTGAAGCAATCTCTTCATTTTCTTACCCTTCTCTTCCTGCTGCTCTTAGTCATTCATATGGGCTCATCCTCCTCCGTCAAATGTTGGAAGGCAAAGGCCCAAGCTCAAGACAAGGCCCAAGCTCTCTTGACTTCTCTCTTTGCACTTTGTACCAGTGGTTCGCAAATTGTGAACTGCATCAGAGTCACTGGAGGGCTTGTTAATGTAGACTGAGGGCCCTGTTCTCAGGGTTTCTGAATCATTTGGTTCAGGGTGGAACCTGAGAACTTGCATTTCTGTCAAGTTTTCAGGTAATGTTGAGGTTGTTGAGGGACTACACTTTGAGAACCAGTGCACTATCTCTTTCCATTATTTCAGCCACACCTGTGGCTCTAATTATTGTCTGAACGCAGGTAACTCCCAGATATGTCTCTCCGCCCAGATCCCTCTTCAGCTCCTGACCCATAGGTCTGACTGCACACTTATCATCTCTACTTGTGTACCTTGGAGGCATCTCCACTTCCACATACCCAGGATTATGTTTATGACTTTTGCATGCCACCCCTACCACTACCACCACTGCACCTCCCGACACAACGCACACACCAAAGACCAACCACAGCGTCCAGCTTGCTTCTGTGTTTCTGGTTTTCCCTTCTGAGTGAATACATCTCATACCCATAAACCCAACAAGCTAAAGGCTTAAAAGGCTTTCCAAACCCTTGCTTCATTCCCATCTCTCATCCGTTACCAAGTCTATCAATTTTCTGTTTCTTCTTGGCCCAGTTTTGGTAAATTTAGCTTTTCTAGGAAATTGTTTTCAGATACGTTATGTGCAATATTTTCTTTTTTTTAAAGCCTCTGCTTTGTTTATATTGCTTACTTGTATTTCTTCTTTCTGTTTTGTCTTGATCAGTCTTTCCAGAGGTTTGTCTTTTTTTTTTTTTTGAGTTGGAGTCTCACTCTGTCACCCAGACTGGAGTGCAGTGGCCACTCCCGGCCACCACAGCCTCGACCTGCTGGGCTCTGGCGATCCTTCCACCTCAGCCTTCTGAGTAGCCGGAATTACAGGCATGCGCTACCACGCCCGGCTGATTTTTTGATTTATTGTAGAGATGAGGTCTCGCTGCCCAGGCGAGTCTCCAACCCACGGGCTCAGGCAATCCACTCACCTCAGCTTCCCAAAGGCGCAGGACTACAGGCTGAGCCACCAAGCCTGGTTGGTTTGTCTTTTTAAAGAAGAAACTTGTGGTTTTGTTGATCTTTTTTAGTATGTCTTATTTTTCTGATTTTTTTTTTCTTTTGGCTCCTGTATTTCCTTCTTTGTACTCTTTTTGTTTATCCTTTTGTACTTTTTTCTAATTTTTTTCAGTGGACGCTTAGATTGGCTGTCTTCTTTTCTAAATAAGCTAATTTCACCATGCTCAGAGGACATGCCTATACAAAATCAAGTCTTTGTTACCTGTTAAGACAGGCCTAGTAGTCTTTGGTAAATTTCTGTAACTCATCTATTTGTCTTTTTATTAATAAGTTTTATTGAATGGTTCTATGACCATAAGCTCAGACAAGTTCTTTGTGTTGTTCAGGTCTTCTCTAGTTTTACTAGTTTTTTGACTATTTGATCTATCGATCTTGATGGAAGTGTGTGTTGAGAAACCTGTACCGTGACTGTCGATTTGTCAGTTTTCCTTATAATTCTGTCAGGTATTGCTTTATAAGTTTTAAAGCTGTATTACTAGGTATTTAATGAGATGTATTTGTCCCTAAAGTGTTTTTTATCCTAAGGCTTAAAAAAAAACCCAAGACCTAAACATAGTCTACAGTTATTAGGCATCTTAATTATCCTCCCAAACAATACAAGGACTTCTTCTGGTAGGAACTTTCTACCTCTTACTTCTAAAGGGATTCAACTTCTTCCAAGCTCTTTCTATTGGCTTTTTTTTTGAGTTGGAGTCTCATTCTGTCACCCAGACTGGAGTGCAGTGGCCGCTCCTAGCCACCGCAGCCTCGACCTGCTGGGCTCCAGCGATCCTTCTGCTTCAGCCTTCCAAGTAGCTGGAAGTATAGGCGCGCGCTACCACGCCCGGCTAATTTTTTGATTTATTGTAGAGATGAGGTCTTGCCAAGTTGCCCAGGTGGGTCTCAAACCCGCAGGCTCAGGCAATCCACTCACCTCAGCCTCCCAAAGCGCAGGATTACAGGCTGAGCCATTGAACCCGGCTCTATTGACTTTTTAGATTTCATTTATTCTACTTGTGAGATGTTTCATTGTGAAGTTGACTTGCTTGAGTATAGTGTATAAAAGTAGCATTCCCCACTAATACTGCAACTTTGTATTACTAGAACAATTATGTACACATGCTTCTTATCTAAGAATTTAGTGAATGATTTTCTGTTTGAAATTGATTTGGTGTTATCTTGGATTGCATATTTATGTATATTTTAGATTTCTTTTCTCAATTGCTACTTAAATCTTTAAATAGGACTTCAGATAAAAATTTAACAATGTAACAGGGAGAATGGAAAAACAGAAAAGATATAACAGGTTTGAAGAA